TGAAGTCTGATGTGTTACAACTGATAATGATTAAAATATGCGTTGTATAGAAAAAGGCTTAGTTGAAAATGCTGGTTAGACACATAGGTGTGTAAAGCTACAACAGAAAATACTTGTATCTCTCATGTGTAATTAAGCCAGCATTGATAATGGTGACTTTCATCCAATCCTATAAACTTTTTTTTCTTTACTACTAGAGATTGACCCAAGGACTGTTTATCACTTAGTTACATCCCTAGCCTTTTTTTGTTTTTTTCTGACTTTTGATTTTTTAACAGGGTCTTGCTAAGTTGCTGAAGCTGGCCTCAAACTTGTGATCCTCCTGCTTCAGCTCCTGAGTACCCTGGATTATAGGCATATGCCACAGTGATGGGCCCAATCTTATATACTTAACCATCATGGGTTCTATAATTTTTGTCAGAAATAAAGCTAAATATATCTTGATTTGTCCCACGACACAGCAGTTCTGCAGCTTAACAGTGTTAACATCTTATTGTGAATTTTTAGCTTGGAGCCAAGATTTAAATGTTTTACTATATAAATTTAAGGTATACAATATTATGTTTTCATATACATATGCATACAGAAGTGATTATTAATGGTAGAGAACTTAATATATCCATCTAGTTGCTGTTTGGGTGTGGGGGGGGGGGGAGATAAGAGTACTTGAAATCTACCATCTTAGAAAATTTTCTATATACAATACAATATCATTAACTACAGTCCTCATCCAGGACCTTAGATCTCTAAATTAGTTCATCTTACCTGACTTCAGTTTTGGACTCTTTGACCTACATCCCCCCATGTTCCCCTCCCACCTCATGTATCCCACCTCTGGTAACCACTTTTTCATTTAAAAAAAAAAAGATTCCATAAATAAGCCACCTACCCCAGGGGTGTTCTTTTAGTGGGTATAATATAGGAATATCAAGGAATTGCCTTTAAAAGTCTTTTGTAAATAAAATATTACTATTTGTTACCTTTGTAAACATGTTGTTTTGCTAAATATGTTATTAAAATGTATTTGTAAAATGTTCTGAATGTGAGGAGCTTAACTTTTTACTAGACAGTGCTGGGTTGGTGGTGAGAAGTTACTTTCTGGCTTAGGAATGGGTAAACTTATTTTGTAAAGGGTCAGATGGTAGTTTATGCTTCACAGGCCTAGAGGCAAAATTGAGGATATTATAGTATCTTACACAGTTATAGAAAGAGAGAAAAAAATTCCACAATATTTTATTGATGAAATTTAAGTAATAATAATTCTTGAATAGATTTTTTATAATACCAGCTTACTATTAAGAATTAAAAAAAAATTAAAGATAACATTCCACTTAGTTGGATTTAAAACTTAGTGTTCCTTATTATCAAAGTTGAAAATGTTAATGCTAATCTTTCATCTTTCAAACTGTCTTTTCACACAGATAGTTACTGTCAAATAGTGATATAATCCTGTGTGCCTGTAGTTTAAATTGAGCATATTTATCTCTTAGAAGGCATTTACAGAATCCTATTAGATTTTTCTCCTGATATTTGCCAGCTGAAGTCTGGTAGAAGCTTCTTAATGGCACAGTTAAGTGAATTTTGAAATATGAGAATTTTCTTTGTACCTACAATGTGGTCTAATGAACACTCTGGAACTATAATTTGAGGCTGGAAAATACATCTAAGCCAATCATCTGGGGATGAGGATGTGATTTCTCATTCCAGTTTCTGGAGGCACTGGGAAGTACATAATGCTGGTTGACATTTCTTGTGATTCATGCAACACGAGTTGTTGAAATGATATTACTGCAGTGTAAGATTCATATATGAGTGTTGTTTGTTTTATAATTCTTAGGTTGAATTAAGAAACATAATCAAGAAATTCAAAATCATTTAACATTTGAAGTAATGGCTGAGTGTGATTCTTCTTATTCCAAAAATTTACAACTTGTATGCCAATAACTTATCTATAAAAGAAATGTCATTTATGATAGCATCAAAAAGAACAAAGTACTTAGGAATAAATTTAACCAAGGAAGTAAAAGATCATACACTGAAAATTGTACAACTCCTATAAAAAAATGAGGATGGCACAAATAAATGGAAAGATAACCCTGTGTTCATGGATTGGAACAATTAATAATATTAAAATGTCCATACTGCCTAAAGTAATCTATAGTTTAAACTTAATACATATTTGGAACCTATCAAAATTCCAAAAAAAAACTATTTACAGAACTAGAAACAAAATGTACTAAAATTCCTATGGAATCATAAAAGATCCCAAATAGTCTAAGTAATCCTGAGAAAGAAAACAAAGTTGAAGACATTATACTCCTTGATTCCAAATTATGTTACAAAGTTATGGTAATTAACAGTGTAAAAACAGACACGTACATGACCAATGGAATGGAATAGATGGCCCCCAGATAAGCCCAAGTATATATGGTCAACAAGTCCTGCAAGATACACACAGGGGAGGGATAGTCACTAGAGTCCAACATGCAGAAGAATGAAGCTGGACCCTTCCTTTTCTTGCACAATACACGAAATTCAACTAAAAATGGATTAAAGATCTGAACTTAAGACCGAAACCATAAAACTCAGAAAACATAGTACGAGAAAATCTCTTTAAAATGCGTCTGGTTATGACATTTTGGATACAGCACTGAAAGCACAGGTAACAAAAGCAAAAATAAACAAGTGGAACTAGATCAAATTAAAATTTTTCTTTCTTCATAGTGAGGGAAACAGTCAACAAGAGAAAAGGCAGCCTGAGGATTGGGAGAAAATATTTGTGAATTATATAGTTGATAAATAGTTCATAACCAAAATACATAGGAAGCTTAACTCAATATCAAAAAAAAAAAAAGTAGCTGAATTTAAAAATGTGCCAAGGTCCTGAAACAGTAGGCCATAGTGTAAAAACAGACGTTTCTCCAAGGAAGCCATAAAAATGTTGAAGAGGAATATGAAAGCTGTTCAACATCACTAGCATCAGGGAAATGGAAAAAGGAACCATTTTGTACACTGCTTGTGAGAGTATAAATTAGTAGAGTCAATATGGAAAAAAAAGAGTATGGACATTCTTCAAAAAAATTAAAATATGAATCTAACAATCCCTCTTCTGGGTAAATATCCAAAGGAAATGAAATCAGCATCTCAAAGAGATGACCTGAACTCCCATGATCACTGCAGCATTATTTAGAATAGGCAAAATGTGGAAGCAAATGTCTACCTATAGATGGCTGGATAAAGAAATTCATATAATATCCCAGGGTGGCCAACACTTCACCAGGGAACTTTTGCCTGCTCAGAGGGATAAGCCTGAAATCATTAGTAAAGAACAAAAGACAGAGACAGAAGCCCTGTCATTCTGACAGGGGGGCAGATGCTAGGCATAGGAACAGTCAGAGGAGGACAAATCCCCCAAAGTTGCGGCTGCTGGATAGATGGCTGGCCTGTTTGGATGAATGGTTTGACATCCAGCTCAACAAGCTGCCACTTCCCCTCAAGAATAAGCCAAGTAACTGAGGGTGAAGACTCAGAGCAGCAACGTTCTCAACAGCCCTATTCATCTAGACACCTTGGCACCCAGACACTTCTATCTCAGCATCAAGGGAGATTCAGCAGAGAAGCTGTTTGTTAGTTTGTATTTTTCTTTTTATCCACACATCCAAGTAGTGGGCTTCTTTCCCTTTTTTAGATGTGTAGATCTGAGACTCTAAAGTGAAGTCTTCTGTGGTGGAACTACAGAGGTGGCTTACAGTTAGTTCAGGAGTTCTCTAAAAATTGTTAGTTCAGAGGCCACCCTAGAGCTGTCCATTTGAGACTCCTTGACCTCTCCCTCCACTCATTCCCTTACCAGCATGTTCAGCCCCCAGTCCTGCTACCCCAGTCCTGCTAGGCCAACTTTAGTCAAGGAGTCTGCCTCCTCTACACTTGCACTAAGTAGGAAAATCACATAATGACACAACCAAACCAAAGGGCACCACTATGAATGTGTGATCATCCATCAACTGCTACCAAGTACCAGCTGAGTATCCCTTATCAGAAATGCTTGGGACCAGGATTATATCAAATTTCAGAGGTTTTTTTTTTTTAAATTTTGACATATTTGCAGATGTATAATAATATATTTTGGGGATAGATCCTAAATCTTAACACAAAATTCATGTATGTTTCATATACACCCAAGTAATTCCATATAATTTTGGACAAGAAACAAAATTTCGTGATGTGGTATCATGTTGCCACTGAAAAATCTTTCAGGTTTGGAGAATTTCAGATTTAGGATTTTTTTTTTTTGGTTAGGAATTTAGGAATACTCCATCTGTAATGCTAAGTTTCTTTGGTCAACTCTCTCTTCATTCCCCAAAGCCCCTGCAACCCTTCACATTCCCACTTGCCAATTCATTCTTGGCAGATGGTCATGGTCCCTACTTCACAGAGATGGAAACAGTCACACAGAAACTGCTTCCAACCTGTGCCATGGAAAACCACATGTGCCTCTCCTCTCTTCTGTCCTTCCATTATAATCAAAGAAGTGCCTTCCACTTGCCTCACCATCTTCCAGACCTCATCTCCTCATCTCCAAGGGAAGCTGACTCTGAATCATCCAGTTTCCTAATGTCACCCACTCCCCGTACTGTGTTCCTAAATCAAAACAAAAAACTCATCTCTCCTGAAAATCTCCTTGAAAATATTATGTTCACTCGCCATCTCCTACTTTACTCCACCCTGAATGAACACTCTTCAGTTCAGCAGAGACATGGTAGACCATTTAGGTCCTGCTCTCTCTCCTGGTCTTCCACGACAGCAAGCTCTCTGGGTTTTCCCAGCTGCACTGCTGCTGTTTCTGCAACAAAGAGGATGCACAAGGGCAGCAAGTTGGATCTATCAGGAAGCCACATCCATGTGGCCAGAGCTGAGGAGTTTGCCAGTGTTTGGGTTGTGGCAGAGGAACTGAAGTTGACATCACTAATTCCTGTAACCACCGAGCTCCCTTTCTTGCTTACCTGCTGCAACAAGAGCTCCTCTGCCTTGAGCCGCTCCATAATTTCCTGCTCCCTCCGAGCCAATTCTCTTTCATGCTCCAAGTCCACCATTTCTTGTTGCCTCTAGCATGGTTAAAAGCAATAGTACGTGACTCATTAGAGACCAAACAATTCAAAAATGATCTTGAAAACTTCACCAACAATAGGAAAACGGGCAAGCAAATTATAGTCCATCCATTTAGAAGCGATATAGTAATTGGGGGAGATGTGTGTTTTATCTGAACAAAGAGCACAAAATTAAAATTATACATTGAGAATGACCACAGGTATGTAAAAAGAAAATCTATAGGCAAACATGTAAAAAAAAGACTACCTGTAGAAGAAAATACCTAAAAAATGTAAACAGAAATCTTATTTGGGTATTTTTTCTCCTATGTTTTCACATGTTATTTTTCATAATACATACTATTTTTTACAATAGAAATAACATGTATGAGAAATAGTCTGGTGGTCCATTTTCAGAATAAAGTATTCAGTCTTAATTGGATCAAATTATAGTCCTTCCCTTTTGCCCACCTGAATTTTAAAATTAGCCAATAGCCTAGGTTGTACCCTGGAGTCCTCCAATCAGGGTGAAGGGCAGTGCTGCATTAGGTATATAAACCTGCAGAGCCAGCCCAGGTGCTCTTGGTAGCCAGGTTCCTATAGCAAGCCCTTTTGGCAGAAATAAAGGTTTGCCTTTCCCACCCATTTTGAGCATATATTTGATTTCTTATTGCTAACACATGGAATCTTTAAAAAAAAAAAAAAAGAACCAATTATTTTACATTTCTTATTTCATAAAAGGAGATTCATACTTACTAGTTGTTCCATGGTTAAATTTTCCTTATACTTGTAAATCCACAATGCTAAATATTCTATTGGATCCGCTGGGCGAACTCTTGCTACTTCTGCAAGACCTAGAGTTAGACACATTCCAAGGTGCTTTTGAAGATATGACGACTCCATTTCTAACTCGTAAATAAAAACCTCTAAAAAAATAAACATTTTGCATTAGTGCAGGCTTTCAGTTACAATACAATAGGAGTAAAGTCAATGAGACCAACAAAGCACTCTACTCTATCATGGGTACTTCCCAGTATGGGTGGCATAAGCAAACTGCCCCGAGGAAACTTCTAACAGCTTCCAAAAGGGCTGTTCTAAAATCATTACAGCTAAAATAGTTAAAAATCCTGAAGGGCTTTTAAGTCCAGTGCATGAGACAGAAAGGGATTATTGACTTCAAGTTGACTTTATGCCAAGCAATACCTGATTCATTTAATCCTCACAACATACCTAAAACTTTGGGTATCACAATTCCCCACTGAGCAGATTGAGGAAGTCCAGGCAAAAAGAGCATAAGTGGACAGTTCAGATTGAAGAGTTGGTACTCACTTCTCGATTCTAGGGCTTCACCCTACACTCTACTAAGATGTTCCTCCTACACTATGTATGCCATCTTTACAAAAAGTCTCAACATTAAAATTCCGTGTATTTCCAAGGTTAAGAGTATAAAAGAATAGAATACAAGGCTCTATTATGGTTTAGATATGAGATGTCCCCAAAAGTTGGTGTTTGTGAGAAAATGCAAGAATAATCAGTGGCAAAATTACTAGATTATGAGAGATTTAACCTAATCAGTGAAGTAATCCATGGATGCTGATTAACTGGGTGGTAACTGTAGGCAGGTAGGTCACTGGGGGTGTGCTTTTGTGGTATATATTTTGTCCTTGGTGAGTGGAGCTCTCTCTCTGCTTCCTGGTTGCCATGTCTTGAACTGCTTTCCTTTTCCTTTTTACCACACCTTTCTGCCATGATGTTCTGCCTCACCTCAGAGCTAAAGAGTAGGCTGACCACATATTAAACCTTGAAACCCTAAGCCCAAATAAAAACTTTCCGTCCTCTACTTTGTTCTTGTCAGGTCCTTCAGTCACAGCAACACAAAGCTGACCAAAAAAAAGGCTTCTCACAACCTGGCCCCAAATTTCTTTTCAGGTTTGCTTCCAGGCAACTCCCCTGCCCACAACACACCCTGGGCTCTTGCTCCACTGAACATCCTGCCACTCTGCTGATAACACTTTATGCCTTTCCATCATTGTGATTTTTGTACATGAAGATGATCCCTTCCTCTCAACAGGAAAAAAATATCTCCTCACCTGCAGGACAGAGATCATTTCTCATTCCCTGAGCTTTCCCATGCAACTCAAGGAAGTTGTTCCTTCTCCAAGCAGCTCACATAGTCACAGAAGAAGTTCTCTTAGGGGTAACATCTCAGCTAAATTTGAAGTTAGCTGAGATGTCACCCTAGGAGAACCTTTCCTAAAGGGACAATAAAATTCACAAGGCAACAAACAGAAGGAAGAGCCTTGGTAATGACAGTAGACAAAATGCCAATGTGTCTAGATCCATCCCTGGACAACTGCACCTAGCATTTTGCATAAAATTTCAGAAACACTGACATCTTGAGGTCCATCCATAAGCCTCAAGGCTTTTCTTCTGTCATGAGATGTTGGTCCAAGAGCAAAATACAATCCTACAGAGGGGAACTGACAAAGATCTAGAAAATCATGTGTTTGATCCACCAATCTCACTTCTTGAATACTATCTCAATGATATACTAGCAAAAGTATAAATGGCATATGTACATAGTTACTTGCACTTTCATTTACCATAGTCAAACTGGAATACCATTCAGATGTTCATATACTAGGGATCAATGAGACACAGCACCCTGGATTCTTGTGCAGGCATAAAAGAGAAGGACAATGCTCTCTAAAACAAGAAATGTTCTCTAGGACCCAAAATGAAGTGAAAAAAAGCAAGGTCCAGAAATGACATGTTATCTTTTGCATTCGCAACAGCAGTGGGGAAAGGAACAAGTATGTGTTGTATGCATAAACACAGTCCAAAAAACTCAAAATTGAAAACAGAAAAGTGACTCAAAAATGGACCTAATTTCCTATTAAGTTGGTATTAGTGTCCTAATCACACAGAGAAAAGCATTATTGCTACTGACTTGGAACAGTCTTCGCTGTGCTTCTTCAGTGGGATCCACTCAAAAAACAGTGCTACACAGACATCTCAGGTCATTTGAAGTGAGTAACATGAAAAAGGGAAGGGAGTTCTGCTGCTGCTCCAGAAGGATAACACGTGGGAAGGGGAGAACCTCTGGCCTTAGGGTAAGCCAAGTTCAGTGTGTATCCGTCACAGCCTTATCAGTGGGACCTAAGGGTTGCTTGTTGGGCCTCTCATTTAACATCTGGTCCCTGTCCATGAACCTACAATAGTGCCCATCTCTCCTGCATTAAGTAATGTTGTTTTTATTTGCACCACTAGGGACCTAGGCCACTAAAGCCCTTTCTACAGAAAGAGTTAATTCTGGCCTGAAGAAGCTTCTGCAGCCATTAAAAGGTGGGAGAACCAGCCTGGGGGAGAACTGGCAGCTGAAGAAGAAGGTAAGGTACTCAGGCAGAGGTACCAAAGTTAAATTTAAAAAGAGCTGATTCAATTAAATTTGAACTTCAGAGAAACAATAAATAACTTTTATACCATTTTCCTACTAGAAGGCAATCCGTCTATCTGAAATTCAAATTTACATAGCCTTGCAGTATTTTATCAGTATTTTATCTGGCAACCATCAACCTGGGGCTTTTAGGTCACTTTTCCTATTTGGGTCTGCAGAAGAGTCTCTTCCCGGGATCCAGGGATCCTGCTAGGAAGCCGGGAGGAGGATAGGGAGAGAGGGAAGAGGAGGAGGAGGAGAAAAAGAACCAGAGGCAAAAGGAGAAGGTGCAGGAAAGGGGTCCTAGAGGGAGGAGACAGAAAAGGGTGGGGAAGAAGACGGAAATGAAGGCAGGGATTGGGAGGAGGAGGAGCGGATCCACAGAGTGGCGACCCACGGAGCTCCCAGGAGTGAACCAACTCTCCCTCGGCCTTTGGGGTAGAGACCTGTGCCGCTCTCAAGGTCCAACCGTGAGAACCGCCTCTGCTAGGCGAGAGGAACCGTTCTGAGAAAAGGGCTCCTCCCTTCTTGGTGCGCGCACCCGGCGCATGCGCCCATCCCAATCTGCTAATCGCGTCCCGGTGCTAGGCAACGAGCGCTCCCATCCAGGGCCAGAGCAGGCGTCCTCTCGGCAGGGGCGCCGGCGGAACGGTGAGCTGAGCGTGCGTCGTGGGGGATGGAGCGGAAACGCGCGCCCTACGGGAGGGGACTCGCGCGAAGGACTGGGGGCGCGCGAAGGACTGGGGGCGCGCGGAGGGGAGAGATGAGGAGGCTTGCCACCCAGAAGCTGGGAGCAGGCGCTTGCTGAAAAGAACCCTCAGACCTGGCGGGTGGACCGGCTCTGTGTGGGAGAGGTGAAGGGGCAGCGGACTTTCTGGAAGGAGCCTTGAGGGACTGCCAGACCTCGAAAGCAGGAGACCACAGCCCCTGGGAGACTCGCTGCATGCTGCGTGGTCTGGCAGTGTCACGCCTCCGCACTTTGGTACTTCCTGGTGACCTCCGGACTCTCACGATTGCACTGTAACCGGGCCCAGGCGTGTGTGCAAAATACTCTGCTAACATTTCCTATGTTGTTTTTTGTTTGTTTGTTTGTTTCTTTGTTTCTTTGTTATGTCAGTTTTTGCGGTATTAGGGATTGAACCCAGGAGCGCTTTACCACTGAGCTACATCTCCAACCCTTTTTATTTTTTATTTTGAGACGGAACCTGACTAATTTGCCCAAACTTACCTGCACCTTGTGATCCTCCTGCCTCAGCCTCCTCTGTAGTGTCTGAGTTTACAGACATGCATGACCAGGCCAACTTCCCGGGTTCTGTTTTAATTTATGGGTGTAGCATTACCTGGTAGGAGAGGCATCAATAAAAGCTGGTTGAGTAGTAATTGCCAGAGTGGGCACTGATGAATCAAGGAAACAGAAGCTCTAATCTGGGCCCACACACATCAGAAGATGTATTTACCGAGCACCCACTGTGTGCCAAGCAAAAGGGATAAGTTCTCCCAGTAGGGTTTGTCACACCTAAGCAGTGTGACAGCTACCCAATGAACAGGGAATGGAGAGTCACCCTGGGAATGCAGAGTTGATGGCTCTTCCTCCTGGTATGGACAGTTCTGCAATGACAAGGTGGATTTCTAGGTACAAATCACTTGGAGATTATGTTAAAGTAAAGATTCTGAATCTGTAGCTCTGGGTGGGACCTGAGAATCTGCATTTCCATAAGCCCTCAGGTGATAGAATTCCAGTGCTCTTTTGTCATCAGACCACACTGAGTGAAAAGGGTGCAGAAGATTGTTAATCCTCATTCATTAGTTTAGTTGGGCCACAGATTGGCAGAAAGAGACACCATCCACCCTCCTTCCCACCCTCCACACCTACACCAAACTCAGTGACTTTAAACACAAATTTATTCTTTTAGTTATTGAGGTCAGAAGTCCAAAATGAGTCTTCAGGGCTAAAAGCAAAGTGTCAGCAGCCTTTTGGGGGATCTGGAGGAGAATCCATTCCTGACAACATCACCTCTTCTCCCTCTGCTCTCTCACCATGTTGCCCTCCCTGTCTGACCTTGCTCATCTGTCTTAGAATGAACCTTGTGATTACATTATACTCACTTGGATAATCTACTTCCCATCTCAAGATGCTTAATTTAATCACATTTACAAAGTCCCTTTTGCCATATAAGCTAACATATTTATAGATTTCAAGTATTAGGACACAGAGACCTTTGGGAGACATTAAATTTCACTCAAATTTCAATTATTCACAATAAAGTTAATAAATTCTACTGTATAATCTACAGTTTGCATTTTATTTATACAATTTTCCCAACAATATCTTTTACAGAATTCTTTTTTCTGTAAAAAAAAAAAAAAAACTAGTATCATGTGTTTAGTCCGCTTTTCTCTTTATTTCTTCCCTATCTCTTTTTATGACCTTGACATTGTGGGGCAGGTCGCTTAGAAAACACATCAAGTCCCAGTTTTACCCAAATTGAAGAGTCTTTATTCTGACCAACCAGGACTGCTCCCTGCAGGACCAAGTTGTCTCTGCAGGAAATAGCCTACAGCCTCAACATTTTAGGATATTTAAAGACAAAAACCACATCCAGGTTGACATAGCAACCAGCAAGCAAGCAAGCAGGATATACAGAAGCTGAATAAAGCCATTAGTGAAAGAATGCAATGTCCTTAATCATATTTTCATTCTCATTCAGTATTTCTCATGGGATTTTCCATAATCATAATCAAAAGAGAAATGGGTCAAAGTGACCCTAGTTGAGTACAAGTTAAAGAATATCAACTAACATCTAATCAATTATTCCCGGATAAGGCACATTGCCCAAGAAAAACGGAGACCAATGAGAACAATTTTACATTGTATAAGAATTGCTATTTTGTGTTGCTAAGTATACTATGCTAGGCAATTAGTAATGGGTACAGAGGTGGGGCTTTCCCATGGGAGAACCATTTCTTACATGAGTCTAGTTATTGCCCATACACCCTGGCCCATAATATTTTGAAGAGTATAGTCCAGTTGTAGACTGTTTCTCAATTTACTTTGCTTGATGTTTTTCTCAGTTGGATTTAATTTTACATTTGGACAGGACTTCACAGAAATGTATAATGTGCCATAGGAAGGGCATCCCAGCAGGAGGTATGGGATGTCTTTGTTGCTTCACTGGTGATACTCAGTTTGATCACTTGGTTAAGGTTGTGTTGGCCAGATTGCACCACTATAAAATTTCTATATTTCCCTTTTGAAAAATTAATGCATATTTTTGGAGAGAAACTTTGAGGCCATGTAAATATCCTGTTCCTTATCAAATATTATTTACCTGCTCAGGCAGGATGGGGCATGGCCATTTTCTCAGTGACTCAGGAGGCTGAGGCAGGAAGGTTACAAGTTTGAGGCAATCCTCAGCAACTTAGCGAGCCCCTTAGCAATATAGGGAGATCCTGTCTCAAAATAAAAAGGGATGGGAATGTAGCTCTGGGTTCAATCCCCCAATACAAAAAAACAATTTTAAATAAAATAAACCAATAGTCATTCACCCATTAATGATGTGTTTTAGCACTCCAGCTTGATTCAGTTATACTACAATGGTTATAAAATAGCAATTTTGAAACTTCCATTATTCTTTCCACATATATTAATCAGCATTCTACTCTGGGAAGGAACTTAGTTTTTTCCCTGTTCATCTACATTTGTTTTGGGATGGACTTATGGATACTTTTTTATTCTGAGTTATTTGTGAAACTTATCAGAATAAAAATACAGCCACTTGTGCTAAGTCCAAAGAAACAAATAATAAGTCAGGCTCTCAGGCCGTGAAGGACAGGATCTCACACACATGTGCCTGATAATAGGAACTATGGCAAAAGACTGCCAGAGCCACAGCCTTGCACAAACACCAGTGCAATCTGAAACAGAATATCTCTGCAGGGACATTTGCCCAGCAACAGTCTAATCTTGCACTGATGTCACCCTTGCTATGGATTCTTCATGATCAAGGATTATTGTTCAAAATATTGATAAAATCCTCCTCTTTTTGCGTTTGTAAACCTCCCCTGGACCTGGGCACTGTTGTGCCCAGCAGTTTGGGAGACCGATACAGAAGAATAGCAAGTTCTAGGCCAGGTGGGTCAGAGACCCTGTCTCAAAGTGAAAGTAAAATGGGATGCAGCTCGGTGGTAGAGCACCCCTGGGTTCAATCCCTAGTCCCACCACCAGCAACCACCCCTTCCCTGGCCTCAGCCTCTGTGAATGCACAGTTTGCAGGTAGCGTATGTTTTCCTGTTGCAGTGCTACTCCTGTATAAACTTAATTTTTGGAGAATCTGTTTGTTATTTAGGTTAACAAATCTATTACACTCATTTATTTATTTTAGTGATCAACTTGTCCCATATTTGGCTGTAGGAGCCACTTGAACATGGCTCCAGGGTCCTCAACCTTTCAGTTCTTTAGAACTCCTTTACTTTCTGGCACAGTGAGTGATCAGGCACTTTAGGCTTTTCCTGTACCTGGCTTGGAGCCAGTTGTTTCTTGAGGAGCTCCAATGCCCTTTTCATGATGAGGGATGTTTGAAAACACTTTCCCAGTGCTCAGGGCTCTCCTTGCTGCTCAAGCACTTGGCTTCTAGGCCCTGCAGCCCCCAGAGCTGGGAAACACTGGTTTTTCCTTTTTAGCTTCACATCTCTCTCTCTCTTTCTCTCCTTCCTTCCTTAAACTGAAAAATGGAGAGAAAGAGTTCCAGGGAGGAATAAACTAAAAAATGCCTCCAGAAAATGCGAAGGCTAGATCTGACCCTCTGTTATTCCCTGGATTCTTCTGGAGTTTAAATATGTAACTTTCAGGAACATGGAGTTTGTCAGGGAGCCAGGTGCTGGAGAGCTTTAGAACAAAAGTCTGCTTGAACATAAGGCCTACTGGCAAGTATACATTTGTTGGTTCTTTTGAGAAGAGTGGTTCTATGGTTTGGATTTTAAATGTCCCAAAAAGCCAGATGCTGCCATTTCAGTCTCTAGCCTGAGGTGCTATAGGGAGATGGTGCAACTCTACAGGGGTGAGGCCCAGTGGAAACCCTTGAAAGGGGACTGTGAGACCCTGACTGCTTCCTCTTTTTCTGTTTGTTTTTGGCCACTGTAAGAAGAGCTTCTCTGCTCCACCTGATGCTCCCTGCCATGGTGTTCTGCTGAGCACCCACAGACTGAAACTACTGGCAAATATAAATTCATCTTTATGTGTTGATTACCTCAGGTATTTTGTCACAGCCATGGGTAGCTGATGAACATGGGTGAGACCAAGTAACATCTCATATTTATCCTAAAATAAATCTGAATTGGTTAGAATGAATCTGTTTTTAAGATATGATTACCTGTGTACAAGAATGTGTCTGTTTGGATGCTTCCCAGGTCCCCAGGATGGAAACGGAATATCTGAAGAAGTGCTTTGGAAATTCCTTGTCCCAGGCACTGGCAGAAGTGGCAAAGGTTCGGCCCAGTGACCCAATAGAGTACCTGGCTCACTGGCTTTACCATTACAGGAAAATAGCTCTAGCAAATGAAAAGGTGTGTGTGTGTGTGCAGGTGTGTCTAGGGAGGGCTCAGCTTCCCTGGAGGGACTGGGATCCAAGGCAGAGTCCTGGAGTTGGCCAGGAGGGTTTTGGTTCATTCACCTTCCCAGGATGACTTAGTCTGCAGCTGGAATCCAACTCAGGGGTGTGGAGTTGGTGGGTTTGGAGCTGCCAGCAGGCTAAAGTTAGTTACAGGAAGAAACTCCATATGCTTAAAGGGCCTGGGTCCAGGACTATCCCCAGGGATGGCGGGCCCCCTTATAAGACCTCTTGGTGCTGACCTGACTTGAGCCTGTGACATTACCCCAGAATATGCGAGAACAGATCCAGCTGATGGAGGAATATGAGAACAGCCTCAAGGAAAAGGAAATGGCAGCAATGTTGAAACAAGAAGAGCTTCAGATTCAACAGAAGTGTGAAGAGTGTCACAAGGTAGGAAGGGGGAACTCACCATGGCCCATTCCTATCCCAGGGATAGACTCCAGGAAATCCCCAGGGCAGCCGCCACCACCGTGCTGAGCACACTGAGGCCCCTTTAGTCAACTTTCCCTCCCTGTCCCACATTTATGTCTGAACCAGGTCTTGTCAATGACATAGGGAAGGTTCAAGGCAAATTCATGTTAGATTCAGAAAATGCTACTGATGTTACTGACATACACATCTAGATTTTTTTAAAACAATCTATTCACCTGGAACAAATATTTTTTTTTCATGAAATCCTTGAGCCCTTGTTCAAAAATTATTCAGTATTTTTCAGAAACCAAACATGATTGTTATCAGTGCATACTTAATGCATATGATTACATTAACTATTTGGTATATTATTATTATATTCTGCTTAGGTGTCGAGCCTCTGGTGCCTCCTCTTTGAAGCTATAATAATGAACATAAATTCATAGTTCAGAATAGTTGGAAAAAACTGTACATTCATCACTCTGACAAGCAAATCTTTTATCTCCCACAATCTTTTCTACAATTTCCTAAAAGATGTCCCCTGCCATTTTATGCTTTCCAAAAATTACATTATGCCAGAACAGATAATTCACTTAATGGGGATGTCAGGCTGGAGATCTGAATCTTATTCAACTATCACTACATCCTGTGCATTTAAGTCTTTAGTGCAGTCTGGTACAAGTCACTAACTTTTGCTGGTTTCCAAAACCGACTTTGAAAATATGCATATATTAAACTTATTTTCATTTATAATAAAATGCTCAGCAACCTCATAAACAATAAGTAAATTTATTTTAAAGGCTGAACATATGTAAATAAACTAAAAGAAAGATGGTTTTATGCTATTTTTTGAGGTGATCTAAGGAGCTGTCCCTCAGAAAGGGTTCATGCTTGAAGCAGTTTTGGGGGGATGGAAGAAATGAGGCTCAGTAAGCAGAAGTCACTATCACCTTACTGACAACCCAATCATTTTCTAACACCATGTTTCACTGGTAATAAAAATAAAAATACAAGATGATGGACTCCCAAGTCTCCACCCTAGTTTTGTGGTAGCTGTATTGAAAAAAACTTTGCGCACTCTGGTATTTTGAGTCACACTGAGGATATTTTGCACCCTGCAGCAATATTCCTCAGCAAGATTTTGAAAAGCAACAGGTTCGCCTTTCTTTTACCAAGTGTGAGACAAGGAAATTGTAAGGGAAGATGGGAACTGAGAGATAATGCCTGGGCTGTGTGCAAGTTCTCACTTTTAGGAAAGAGTTCATGTGCAAGTTGTGGTTATGAAAATTGATTCCACTTGTTAGAAGGGAATAAACAAAGAGAACTCAACAGGGATTTAAAATAGAGCTGAAAGGATCACCTGCCTGGCAAGGGAGAAGCACATCATTCAGTTCTGAGTTAATTTCCAAGTAGAAGTTGAAAGGGCGAGATAAAAGGCAAAGAGGTAGTGGGAACCAAGATCTGGTTCCAAGTTGGCTCAAGGTGGATTATGGACTATCCCTTGCTATTGGCTACCTGTAAATTTTGCATCACTAGTACTGGTAAATCTGGTTTCAAACAGGCCCAGGAGGGATTTCATGAAATTTCAGCAGTACTGCTAGTTTACACTCAAAGCTTTGCCAGATTTCCCTCCCTTAATCCTTTAAAACCATCTTTGTTTTTGTCTTAACAAGACTTTGTTAATGTTTTTTCTTGAGTACCCCAGATAGAATACTAGTCTAGAGGAAGTGTCAAAAGAAGAATAGAAACAGAGTTCTCAGTGTGGCAGAGGTCATTCCAATTATAGGAATCAAGAAGAGCTCCATAGAGTGGGTAACAGTAGAGTCCAGGCAAAGAGAGCCAGCAAGGCTTGACCTATATGGGTTTCTCTTCACTAAACAGAGGAGCTTTGACAATATAAACCATAATTTTGTATATTAGTCAGAAAGCAAATCTTGTTGTTTATAAAGCTCCGAAGCATTCATGTTTTAGGAAAACATTTTCATAAAAATCAATACAGGTATTTGCTGCATAGACTCAATACTTTGAATACAGAAGGGTCTTAAAGATCATGTGACCAAGTGCTTCACCCAGAGCTCTCTGCCCGGTCCCTTAAGGTTCAGTATGGAATGAGGCTCTGAGACTTCTAGGCAAAGATGGAGTGGAGGTAGCCCCTGGGGCTTAGGTTCCAAGGACTCCTACCTCAGCAAGAGACTACAATCACCTGAAATTGTTTCACAGGTCCCTGAGGGCCCTGCTCATCTTTCCCCCTCTATACTTCAGTTTGGACAATTTCTGTTGATCTGGCTTCAAGTTTGTAGACACTCTCTTTTGCAATGTCCAGTACCCTATACCCTAAAAAAAAAAAAATCAGATATTATACTTTTCAGTTCTAGAACTTCTAACTGGCCCCTGCCCTTTTTTTTTTTTTTCCTTTCTCATTTGTGGTACTGGCTGGGGATTGAACCCAGGACCTCACACATGCTAGGCAAGTGCTCTACCACTGAGCTACACCCTCATGCCTTTTTGAAATTTTATTTTAAGAGTCTCACTAAGTTGTCCGAGCTGGTCTCAAACTTGCAATCCTCCTACTTCCACCTCCTGAGTGGTTGGGATTACAGATATGTGCTACTACACCCAGCTTAGTTCTCTTTTTTAAAATAATTTCCATTTTCTTTGCTGATATACTCTTTCAAACAATATGTCCATTTTTCCCCTTAAAATTTTGAAAAGTTTTAATCATGTTTTTAAGTCCTTGTCAACTAATTCTGGCATCTGTGACCTTTTCGGGTCTCTTTCAATTGAATACTTTTTCACTAGATTATGGTTCACATTTTCCTACTCCCTCCTACGTCTAGTAATTTTTACTCCTATGCTGAACGTTGTAGGTGGTATTTTCTAGGGAGCCTAGACCATGTTGCATTTCCTTTCAAAGGTGTTGAGTTTTGTTCCGGAGGCAGTTAGATCATTGGTGAGTCACTTGATCCTAGCAGATTTGATGGTCTGCTTTGCTATGGCAGCTGTATTTCAGTTTTGTACTTAGTCTTTGGTGTGAAAATAGCAACATTGTGTTCCTGCCATTCTTGAGAGTGTTTCCAGAGTGTGGTTAGCCTCTACTCATGTATTAGTCTGCTTTTTGTCACTGTGACCAAAATACCCAACTAACTTAGGGGAGGAAAAGTTTATTTTGGGCTCATGGTTTCAGAGACCTCAGTCTATGGTCTGCTCCGGTTATAGTTGTGGGCATGAGGTTAAGCAGAACATCATGGCAGCAGGGTGTGATAGGGAAAACTAACTGGACTCATGACAGCTAGAAAGCAGAGAGAGTGTGAAGAACCAGAGACAAAATATAGAATCCCCGAAGCATGTCCTCAGTAACCCACCATCTCTAGCCATGCCCCACCTGCCTACAGTTACCATCCACCAAGCAGTCCATTCAAATGATTAATCCATCAAATGGATTAATGCACTGATGAGGTCACAGCCCTCATGATCCAACCACCTCTTAAAAGAGATACCTCTGAACTTGCCACATTGGGGACCATGCTTTAACATGAGCTTTGCGGGGGACATTCCTAATTCAAGCCATGACAACTAATACCTTTTTTGCTTTTTTTGTCTCCTATTTAGAAAGTGATTTCCCCTGCTTTCAATCAGGAACTAACAGAACCCTTTGAGGAGGAGGCCTTGGAGCAGGAACCCCTGCCCGGTACTGCCAGTAGGATTCCAGCAGTGCTTCAACAATTTCCTCCTTCAGAGCTGGCTGAGGAGATTGAGCAGAACTTGGAATCCCCATAAGATCAAATCACCAGGAGGCTTTGCCCTGTGAAGTTGCTGATTAAAATGCCTCCTGGAGGCTGGGGTTGTGGCTCAATGGTAGAGCATTTGACTAGCACGAGTGAGGCACTGGGTTCAATCCTCAGCACCACATAAAAATAAATAAATAAAAATAAAGGCATGGGCTGGGGATGTGGCTCAAGAGGTAATGTGCTCACCTGGCATGTGCAGGGTGCTGGGTTCGATCCTCAAGACCACATAAAATAAATAAAATAAAAGATGTTGTGTCCACCGAAAACTGAAAAATAAATGTTAAAAAGTTCTCTCCTCTCTCTCTCTCTCTCTCTCTCTCTCTCTCTCTCTCTCTTAAAAAAAGGCATTGGTTCCACCTACAACAAAAGAAAGAGAGAGAGAGAAAGAAAAGAAAGAAATGCCTCCTGGCTCCAAATCTCCTTCTTAATTATCAGAATGGGAAGAATTTGAGTGACCTTTCCCTCAACGCTGCAATCCAAGAAAATAGCCCTGGAGGGAGAGCTCTTGCCAACCAAGGTTGCAGGACTCTGAAAGGCGGGATCTACAGGGCCTCTCTATCATTGTCAGGCAGCTAGCCATGAGAACCCTCATCATGTGTAAATCAACTCAGAAAATAAAGATTTTAAAATAAGGAATGGAACTGAGTCTTTTACCTCTTGTTTTATCATTTATTTGGAGACTGCCCAGTGAAAGCACATCATCTCTTATGCACATGCCTTAACTTTAGCTGTACTTTGCAGTCAGGCCTCCCAGAATATTTACACATACCCTGGAGTCTATCTGTCATTAATAACAGGTATTTTCCTTCACTGTATATGCCAGTTTGTCTCATGTTTTCCAATTTTTTTATTGTAATCAAACACAACATAAAATTTACTATCATAACCAATCCTGAGTGGACTAAGTGTGTTAAGTAAGTTAATATTGGTAGGCAAACATCACCAATCAGCACTGAGACTCTTTTCATAATGCAAACCTAAGACTCTATGCCCATTGAATGAAAACTCCCATCCCCTCCAGCCCCCAGAAGCCACCATTCCACTTTGTATATCTATGATTTTGACTATTCTACATGCCTCATCTGAGTCACACAGTATTTGTCTTTTTGTGGCAGGCTTGGTTCATTTAGCATACTGTCTTCAAGGTTGATTCAAATATCATCAGAATTTCCTTCCTTTTTAAGGCTGAATGATTCCACCCTATTTATGGAACACATAAAATGCCAGTGTTTCTGCACTTAACCACCACACTATGGTGTCTCATGTGATGTAAGAATTAAGAAGGAAACCAAAGGGCATTTGGTCCCCAAAAGGGTAAAGAATGGGTGTGGGAAATCCAAGACAGCTGCCAGGCTTCTGGCTTGAGTCCCAGGGGTGGATAGTGGTGGCTCTTCTTTCAATAAAGGACACAAGAGAAAGAGCAAGTAAGGGCATGCTGGGTATATCATACCTATGAAGGGAACAGGCAGGGGATGCCACAAAAGGGAGCATCTTTGAGTTATTGTCCCCACCCAAGCTTCAGGAAAGACCAAAGCCCCCAAGCCCAGCTGTGGCTTTTCTGTAAGATCCTAGAGCAGAGGCTGGATTTACTGTTCATGAACTGAAGGGGCCTCAGAAGTTCTTCATTTCAACTCTGTGATTGACAATGTTCATTTCCAAGTGTAACAATTTTAAATACCTGAGATCCTATAAGAGATATTCTCCTGACATTAGGAGATAATAATGCTTGGCTTAGACGTGTGTCTTTATGGATTTCTTCTACTCCAGAAGCAAGTTTACCTTCTTAGCTATGTTTTAAAACTCATCATAAATTGGGTGATGCTTGGCGGTAGCACTTGGAGTTAGAATACTATTACAAATATTCCTTAGAATTATTTTCAGGCTTTAATTCCCACAAGACAGCAGATTCGCTGTGAATGTGTTCATTCCTCCTGTTCTCCAAGAACCCAGAATGCTTCAGTGTGTCCAGGACCTACCTAGGACAGACCCCTGAACTTAGAATCCCTTCTGACTTTCTAATAATGCTTTTGCTGAAATTGTGAAACATGATCATCATGTTTTCTTTAAAGATTGTAAAACTGCATATGAAATACAAAAAGAGCTTGGAATCCCAGTGATATGGTAATGTAAATGAAAATGTGGACTGTTTTAAAAACAACTAAAAATCATTGTGACACTGTTTTTCTCTTCCATTTTTCCAATGATCCTGGAATAAATTTATTTAGCTGTTGTGTGGTATTGATGAGCTCAGCTATATCAAGTCAATTCCTATGAGGGACACAAACCAGCCAACTCAATGGGGAGCTGAGGCAAACAGCATACAGGCCATATAGGAAAACTTCATTATTCAAGATCCATATCCAAGTGATATGGGAATAAAAATTGAGGGTCATTAGGGTAAAATCACCTTAATTTTGGGTTTTGTGCTTAGTGAATAGGAGAGAAAATGCCTGAGTCATTTGCATTAGTGCTCTACCAAAAAAGTGAATAGGGTCAATGGAGGTCCCTTCAGATACCCCTCCCATCCCATGGGGACCCTCTTCTCCTAATAGTTTCTTATCCAGTTCCTTCTGGATATAGCAACAGAGAAAAGAGTAAGGGTCCTCTGTCCTACATCTTAACATGGAAGACTGAATTTATTAGTTGTCTATTGCTGAAACAAATTACCACAAACTGGCAGTTTAAAACAACACCTATCTGTCACAGTTACATAGGCCAGAGATCCAGGCATGATTCACAGGGTATTCTGTTCAGTCTCCAGATAAAAATCAAAATGTTGGCCATAGCTCAGTAGTTGTTGGTACAATTTAGTTCCTGGCAGTTGTAGGACTGAGGACCCCTCTTTCTTATCGGCTTGCAGTGGAGAGACCGTAAAAGCCATTCCCACTATGTGACCCTATCCACAACATGTTATTTGCACATTCAAAGCCAAGAAAAAAAATCTCTGCTTTGAATCTCTCTGAACTCTTTTAAGGGCTCTTCGACATGGATCTCTCTATTGATGAACTTGATCATCTCCCAACCATAGCCATGATATCCCATCCTAGTCACCAGTTCTACACACACTCAAGGTAGGGAATTATGCACAGGAGGTGAGGGTCCTCTAACAACTCTTCCTGCAACACACATCTCTTCAGAAAGAAGAGGGCCACATTACAGAAATAATGCAAAATAGTTCATGATGAATTCAAAGACTTTCAGCCACCCAGAGTCAATGAAGTTCAAGCAGTGGAGGAAGCCCCCAAACCAGCATGAATGAGAGGAAACCCCAGTGGGCTAGAACATGAATGGAGGAGAGGAATTGTCACTGGAGGAAAACGGAGTTCACTAAATGCCTGGCTGCTTGGCCAGGCAATGGGAAATGGAAATAAGGAGAGTGGAGACAGAGGAGGAAAGAAATACAGATGAGAAATGGAAGAATATTTTAATTGAGAAACATCCCCATCTTGTGGGCTTTTAGAATAAGTACTAATGTCTCAAACTAAATACCCAAATACTTCTTTTACCAAGCGCTATAAGTGAGATAGCACCTTTATGATTCCCAGTTTAGTAAAAGTTTAAAGACCACAATCCAATCTCTTCATGTCAAAGAAAGTGAAGACCTCTTCTGGCATGTGGTACTCATCCTTCTGCATGTCTCTATTCACTCAGAATGAAGTCTGAGTTTCTTGGAACAGCATAAAAAGCTATTCATGATGGGAGGGGGGAGGGGATTCCTGCCAACCTTTTCTTTTCTTTTTTTAAAAATTTTTGTTCTTTCTAGTTATACATGACAGTAGAATGTATGTTGACACCTGCCAACCTTTTCAATGCCAGTGCCCACCCTGTTCCCTGCGGGGCCCTCCAGCCAGCCACACAGAATAACCTGCAAATGCCCAAAGACACTGTGCCTTTTCCCAGGCCATTTCCTCTCCCACATTCTGGTCCCTGTTTTCATGTGCTGATGTGTCACTTACCTGGGCAGTTGTTAATAGGCACCACAGGATTTCTGCTCACCAGGTTTTCCTTTGCCCTGCCCCGACTCCCTTCCCCTGCCTTGACAGAGGGAAAGGCTGGAGGCGGGGGAGGACCAGGCATTACAGCAGAGGGAAAATGAGCACAGAGTGCTTTGGCTTCTCTCCCACCTCAAGGGGCAGCCCCTGTTGCAGCAACAGCCCTCCTTTCCAGCCTGACCTCTGCTCCCATGCGCCCCACATCCTGAGACACAAACTCTCTTACACCCTCAGCCTCTTTTCTGTTCTTCCCTCTGCTTCCTGCCATCACAGAAGCCTGCTATTTTCCCCTTTGCTTTTACCTTCCCCACATTCTCCCTTCCAGACATCCAGAATTATTCTGGTCTCCTTCAACTGCTGCTCCCAGAGCTTTACTCCCCACCCTCATTTTCACATGCTTCCACTGGAACAAATGTCATCTATCCAAGAAACTCTCTACCTCTGATAATTCTTAATGAAGTTGTATTTTCTTACATATTTCATTGAGTTTATGAATCTTAGATATTTTTACATATTGCTGAGAGAGTTATTATGAATTTGTGTGCAGGCTTTTAAGATAATAAAGTTTGAAATAAAAACTGCATGATAAATGTCATCAGTGCCTATGAAAATGAAGGACTAGTGTCAGCCCAGATGTGGTGGCTTGCATCTGTAGTGATGACTACACAGGAGGCTGAGACAAGGGGACCTCTTCGGCAACATATAAAGATCCCATCTCAAAACAAGACAAAACAAAGAATATTAGGGTAAAATGCAAGAACTTGTGTTTTTCTTCAATTATTCCTTTCATTGCTTTCATTCCTGATTCTAGAGGAGCCCATACTTACACCGAGGGTGTGTATGTGTGTGTGTGTGTGTGTGTGTGTGTGTTTATTTGTTTAAGGGAAAGACAGATTTCTTTAACCTCTTGCCTAACGTCCTAGTTCTCTGATTTCTCTGCCTCAAATGCTTGGATGTACAACCCCCTATAGCTTGGTTCAGGTTTCTTGATTCTATTCTCCATTAAATGCACCAGGTCTCTTCAGAAAGAAAATTCTTTCTAGGGTACAGGAGAGCAAAAATGACTCTGGGACATTATGTAGTTATTATCAGAAATTAAGAATGCTTTCATGGGAGAAGGATCAATTTGGGCCTTGGTAGACCTGTGGTGACGCCAACTTTCAATGATAAACCTATATTTATAATTAGTTGGAACCACTTAAATCCATGCTGACGCTGAAAGAGAATCAACAATAAGAGCACCAGAAGAGTACTTCCTAGGTTGTAACGTTCATGCAACTTTCCTGGAGAGCTTTCCATGCAGCTTTCCTGTTAATCAGCAGGTCAGTTCTCATTCCCTTGATTTGGAGTAGAGCCAGAGACTCTTCATTTCAACAAATATTCTAGGTAATACTTAAACTGCCAATCCAAAAACCACATTTTGAGTAGCAAAATGCTAGAGGGGAATTTCTGGACTACTAATGTTTTAGACATTCTTTGTTGTGGTGGGCTTTCATATTGTATATTTGAAAGATGCTCAGTAGAATTCAGTCTACACACTGGTTGCCAGTAGAACATAATTTACCTAGATGTTAAAATTTGGATATGAGGTGTCCTCCCCAAAGCTCTCGTATGAGACAATGCAGGAATATTCAGAGGTGAAAT